ATTTGTAGAGAGGAAGGTAAAAATTATGGTATAGGTTGCATTAAGAGGTAGTGAGGGGAAGTTGATTGGTTAATGACGGAGATTAGTGGATAGAATTAAGGGGACTTTATAGGTCAATTAATGGAGCGATGATGAATGTGAGGAGGTTATGGGCGAGTGTGTATGTGGGTTCATATATGTGTTTTATCATGATTATCTATGTGGAATGTGTGTATGCGTTTTATCATGAAGATTAGCAAAGTACATGGATAACCATAACAATTCAAAAGACACACTTTAATAATTAATATATAAATCAGAGGGCAATTTAATAAAAAATTTTAAAAATTTTTCACACTTTTAGAATAGTGTTAGATTAGATTAGATTGGATTAGGTAGAAGTTCATCATTTGGTTGCTATACATATTTTCACATTGTTGCTGTAGATGACGTTGGAAGATCTTGTTACTACACATAATATCTTGTTTAATTTTTCTCAAAGATGAGAATACCTACCCCCGCGTGAAGACATGGAGTAATGTGGAATAGTTTTCCCATCAAATGCTGGGCTGACTAACAGTTAACCGTTCTGCATAGTTTTTTTAGGCCATGTGTAAACTTTCTTGTTTGGGTGGTTAAGGAAAGGTTAAACCCTCTTAACCTCCATTAACCCTTTGCCAAATAGGGCCTTTGGATACATATCGCTGTTCGTGTCTGCAACTTTTCTGCGCTGTTTGTCTGATCTGAGATTCTATCAATTAAAGTTCCTACTGAGTCTGGTATTTATTGAGTGTTTGTTGTGCAAAAGGGAACATATCAGGTGGAGAGGAAGTTTAGAGATGGAGAAGAAAAATAGCACATCCTAAGAGACTCTCAAAGTCGCAATCCTTTAACTATTCCAAAAATGACTTTGTAGAGGGAAAACTTACTGCCTGAACAACCTATGTTAACATAGTAACTTCCTTCAAATGCTTGCCTTTTGAAGATAAGAGCTTCTGACCAATGTAAAACAAACATATAGCGAAGAGCAATTTGCTATGTCTTAATAGTTGGAGGGATATTGAGTAAAAACTTCTGTGCCACCTCTGCTTCAGCTTAACAAGAGCCAGTGTTAAAAGCTCATTAGTATATGTGCGCATGTAGCTTATCATGATTTCACACTTCTATTGTTTGTACAGAAGTTTCCTTGTTTATTTCATACAGTTTAGTTAAAAAGAGTGATCCTTCTATACTTCCATGGGGACACAACTTTGTTAAATGGTAAGATCTTTTCAGTTTTCTGTAATGTCAACTTTAAAATGGTCGGGGTACTGTAGTGTTCTTGCTCAATAAGTTCCTTATAAAGGAACTTGGTACTTCTACTTGTAAACCTTAAGGTTACTGCTTACTCTAGGTTAGTCTGTTGGTGTTTCTAATTGTCAAGGATTACAGTTTTACTAACTTTCAGGAGCATTCATATCTTTTTCAACAATTTGAAATTCTAGGTTAAGAGTTTTTAGGCTGGAAATTGAAGTTGTATGAATTTAAGGCTATTAGCAGAGATTAATGGGTGTTTTTTTTAATTTTAATTTTTTTTAATGCTTATTATTTTATTTTTTTTGGTGTTATTCGGGGAACATGAAAATCTTAATAATGGCATGGAAAATAAAATTACTTACATTAAAATTTGGAGTTTGATTTGCGGGAAACTAAACCTGAAGTTGGGAGGGAACAATGGAGAGGGGAAGCAAAGAGAGATTTTTAATCTTTTTATTACTGCAAAGGAGGGAAAGTTGGGAGATGTTTTTATCTTTTTTTAAGGAGAGAGAGAGGGAGGAGGTAGGAGGAAGCATGCAAAATCAGAAAGCAGTTTGATAAGGATTCTGTAATCCTTAATTAAAATCTATGTAGAGTATCTGAATTGATCTTTTCCTAAACTAGCTCTCTACAAGACCATCTGAAAATACATCACTCTTTCTCAATCTTCCTGAAGGCTTTAATATTGATTCGACTTTTAATATTGAGGATTTAGTAGAGTACAAAGGCTCACATTTTAACCTTGACAACCCACTGGTTGATGAGCCTACCCCTGAGTCTATTTCTGAGAGTTCCCCTTCACCTCCACTTCCTCAGATATCATCCCCATATACGGCACATAACATTGATAATATTATTGATGATAACATTGTTTCTACTAGCGCTGGTGGTATCCGCGGTACATGGTGCGTTGGAGAGGTCGACCTGAGTCTGACGATACTTGGCTTGATCGAGATGATTTACAGAGGCTGGATTCTGACCTTCTTGAGTAGTATGATAGTCGTTCTGATTTGCACTCGACAGGTCGAGTTCTCTCCTACCCCGGGAGAATGATGAGGACATCACGGGCGGATTCGGTCGTACCTATCGGCGTAGGAAACGCCCTCTGGTGGACAACATGTTTATCTGGTTTTGAGCTAATTGATGACAGACTTGGCAGCTAGAGTTGATTGAGCAAACTTCCTATTTAGTTTAGATTTGAATTTTGAAATTTGAAATTTGAATTTTGATTCAGTTTTAGTAGTTGAGTGATTTTAGGGATTTCCAAATCTGTATTTTTTTTCTTTTTAAGCACTACTGTAATCGGATTTTAATTAATGAAGAATTTGAATGAAATTTTGCTACCTGACCCTGAGAGCGTGTGAAACGCGGGTGTGAAACCGTAGCCGGGCAGCCCTGTTTCTTTTCCTTCACAAGCCGCCACTCCCCATAAGCGCGCAGCCACCTTAGCTACGACTCCTCTTTCTTCACCTCTGCAAACCGCCAACCACCGCCCCTTCTCTTCCTAGCACCACCAGTCCGCCGAACTCCCCTTGCATCCTTCAACGGCCATACCTCCACCTCCACCGAAACCCCCTACAACCTTCACAGAAGCCGCCGCCTCCTCTTCCTACATCCCGTCGATCTCCCTTGCTCTCCTCCACTACGAGCAACCAAACACTAACCCCCTGCTCTCCTCCCTGCGAGCATCCCATCGATCCCTGCTGCCTCACTCTTCCGAGCAGCCCGCTAACATCTCCACAAGCCGCCTCTAACAACCCCCAATTCTCCACCTCCAATAGCCCCGCCCGCCTCATCCTCACGTCACCTGCCTCATTATCGTCTAGTTTGACGTCGTCGCACACATCGACATCCTCGTCGTCGTTCAGTTCACACGCCTTCATCGTCGTCAGATCTTTGTCTCGTTCGTCACCGATTCAAGTTCTGATTCCGCGGCTCATTGGTTCATGGCCGATCCTGCATCTGAAGACGCCCAATTCATGTATGATCTGGAGACCGGTGCGGTGGACTTGTAGCCAATATATTAAACGCTGGACGCTTTTAGGCGTCGGACTTGGCGCCCAGCGCTTAGACGCTTAGGCGGACGGCTAAGCGGTTTCTGGACGTTTTTTTATTTTTTATTTTTTTAATTGCAATAATTGAAGATATATATATATACTCAATCAAATATGCATAAATACAAATTATAATTTCATCTCAATAGTGAAAAACTCATTCTCAACTCAAACTTAAGTTTACTGTTTAATTAAACTTAAACTTAAGTTTACTGTTAACTTAAGTTTACTGTTTACTTAAGCTTAAGTTTAGTTTACTGTTAATAAAAACTAAATATTAACTTGACTTCAAACTTAATATTAACAGTAGCTACTTGAAATTGAGAACTATACTGCAAAAAGTCACTTCAACTTATGTTTACTTAAACTTAAGTTTACTGTTGTTACTTGTTAATTAACTTAAAATAAGTCACTTCAACTTATGTTTACTTAAACTTAAGTTTACTGTTGTTACTTGTTAATTAACTTAAAATTCAGTGAATGAGTTTATTATGTTTACTTAAACTTAAGTTTACTGTTGTTACTTGTTAATTAACTTAAAATTCAGTGAATGAGTTTACAGAAAATATAAAGGGTCAAAGATCGAGGAAGCTTTTAGCTGTTGGTAGGACTCGTGGGAGGTCGAAGACGAGGTGGGAGCTCGAGATCGAAGATCGATGGAGCTTGGAGATCGAAGACGAGCTCGGATATCGACGACGAAAGGTTTCGACGAGATCAATAACAAGACAAGATCGAAGAGGAGGCTGGAGGCTTCGACAATGGGGCTTCGACAAGGGCTTCGACGAGTTTCGGCAGTCGACGAGGCTTCAATGGGGCTTCGGTAGTTGACGTGGCCACGTTAGCTCCGAGAAGCTTCGACGAGGAGTAGAACTTTGGATCTTCGACGGGGCTTCGACGAGGAAATGTGGCGGCGTCGGGTGCGAGAACGCGAATTAGGGTTAGTGGTTAGTGTGTTGTTTGAGTTTTTGGGTTTGGGTTTGGGTTTGTTTATTTCGTGGGCGTTTTTTAAAACACTTCTTGTAGCTCTCTCATTGGTTGAATTACCAGCCCTTCGACACTCCAGCAGAGTACGTTGATCGCGTGACTTCTCAGATCACCGATAGCGTGGAAAGTCATTTGGGAATCAGTTCGTGGCATTGACGCTTCATCTAGACGCACCACTTTACCCTAGCTACGTAGCTCTCGGAGGAGAACTCTCTCCCCTCATATTCGGCGTGGTTGCACCACCTCCTAAGGTCCCTCACGTCGAGCCTGTTCAAACCGACGAAGGTTTCGTTATCTTCCCAGTACTTTAGGAACTACTATCGTGTGCATGTTATTATTAATTTTAATATCAACTGCTATTGTGTTGTATTCTGCTTGATTAGTGAGTGAGTGATAATGTTTGCTGCGTATATCTGCTGATCTAAATATTGTAAGTTGAACTTTTATTACAAGAACGAATCATTACATTTATTTTGTGAATAATTTACAAGGCCGTAAACTTAGTACATTACAACTTTTGTTTAAAATCATCAAGAGCTCCACTTTCTTTTTGAGGTTCCTATCTAGATCGATCGCTGATTTGGTGAAGCATTGTTGTCGTTGTTCTTCATACCTGTATGTACATTGTTTCACATCATAAACACCTGAAAGTTATCTTGGGTGACCTTTTGAAGCGAAGGATCTTTCATGGGCTTGCCTCATATCCATATCATCGACTGGAACTCCATGAAGACATTATCATCAATACGTCGAGTATGCTCAGTGGAAGCAACGTTAAAATTTCAGCATTTTGGGTTTAAGACATGGAAACATACTTTGTCTAGTTTGGCCCTCACTGTTATTTGTCTGAATTGCCCATTGGCACATAACAAAAAGCATTTGAAATTACATACTTCATTTGTTAACTCTTTCTTAAGTTTCGTGTGCGACCTAAGCTTCAGGAGAGTGAATTTCCCTACCGATAAGATAAAATACTCATTGGTTGTAACCCATCTTAATTCAGATAAACAGTCAACTCTGAAGGAGCTGCAAGCCACTGACAAAGTCATCAACCTTTTCAATTACTGTTTGATTTATTTTATTTTATTTTACCATCATATTGAAATTGATTGTATTTTGTATCACTCAGTAGCTTTATTGTGTATCGGATAATTGACAGTTGTAATGTCATTTTAATTTTTCTTAGTGATTCTGTTTTACCGTGCGTTATGAATTTGATTTTTTATTGTGAATTTTGATTAATTTGTCTTGAATTTGTTTAACTTTTGATTGATTTACTTAAGTAATAGAGGAAGTGATTAACTTGCCACATTGGACATATTTTTCCGTGATCCTCATATGTAGGATAGCAGCTTGTATTGGCAGTAATTTAAATGTGTCCAACGTTTTTTAAGATAGAGGTGGAAGGATTGGCTTGACCTTGTCCATTTTCTTAGAGAAACCTTCAGGACGCTCTGATTTATACCTATAGTATCTTATATATACTTGCCTGCAGACTGTTTGTATAAGGTTTATCTCCTTCATTCTTCTATTCTGAAAAGAAAATCTTAATAATAATGCCAAAAGAAGTCAAAACACATGTAATATATAAATAGAAGTCTTATGCATATGTTGGATGATCATTCTATTGCTGTTATTTTCTCTTGTTTCTTGATTTTGATGGAGAAAACTGGTGTCTGAGCTGATAACGGTTGATTCTATCTGCTCTATTGATAGATTAATGGGATTAATTTGTTACTGTTACCAAGCTATAACAATCATGAGTTTGTTTATTGTATATATTTATGAAGAATCAAGTGTGTCGAAAGTTCTGATTGAATTAAGTGTAGAAACAATAAAGAAAATTTTCACATAATATGCTATCAGCATATAAATAACAGAAGTAGTGGCTATCTCAAGGATACCCTTTTAAGTTGCGAACTAATTCAGAATGTGTTTCAGGCTTGATTCCTTATTATAATCAAGCAATTCATATGCTTGGCCTATATATTTCATGTATGTTTAACTTTTTTGAGCATTGCCCCATCCCTTGAATATTTTAGTGTCATAACCCTACACATAATTTTATTTTTGCAGAAGATGAAGAGTTTGAACCATCACTACCAAGTTTGAAAAATGAGCAGCCAATAGGCATGTGGGATGATGAAGATGCAGAAGATGAAGATGTCAAGGAGTCTTGGGAAGATGAAGAACCTAAACAGGTTCTTTCCTTTTTCTGTTTACTTTCTGTCACTTCAGATATTTATTAGTTAATATTTTATAGTTGCAAAAAAAAAAAAAAAATTCTGCATGTGTTTTGGTACTAGTGTTTAGTACAAAAGAGATCTTCAGGCCAGGTGGCAGTATGCGTCACATGGCTGCGTAGCTAGTTTCTGCTTTAACATTTTAGAAGCAATCTTCATTATGACTCTCTTGGAAGTCAATAGCTTTTCTGAGAATGGCCAGTGAAGTGGTGCTTTTGAGTTTTTCTCAGTCCATAATTTAGTTGTCCGCGAATTGATTTCAGGAGAATTTGTGCCAAAAGTACCAGAATTGAGGTCTGATTGAACAAGCAGTTTGTTGATCCACAAATAAATCTTGTAAATAGTGTCTATGTCAGGGTTTAAATGGATTTTTACCTTTTAATACAACAACTGATGCTGCATGCTTGCCGCCGCTTGGGTTGTAGCTGGAGGAGTAACCATTATTAACAGAGGGCCACAGTATTGGCAGAAGTAAATGATAGATGTTGGCATAAGTTAGTATTAAATTTGAAGAAATTTAGGACTACGGAACTTTGTATTATTGAATCATGAATAGCATTCATAATAGTTCTGGTACAGCCACCCAAACAAGTTCCGAAGGAGGAAAAGACCACAGTGAAGCCTGCTTCCAAAGCTCCAGTGAAGAAAGCAAAGCAACCTGAATCAAAGGCAGCACAAATAGCTGATGAAGTTCTTGCAGATTCTGTTGCTGAGAAGCTTCGCCAACAAAGGTACATCTAACCATCTTTCTTCTATTAGAGCTCAGCTTCGAAATCCTTTTGTTGCATTAAAGAACCCTTCATGAAGATTTTTCTTCAGCTTGTCTTATTTTCTCTTCGGTTTTATTTGTTCCTAGAAATGAGGAGAGGAAAGAATTTAACCTGTACCCATTTTGGCTACCCAAATAATGTGAAAGAGAATTCTTTAGAAAAAAGTTTAGCAATTTCTTCACTTCCATTTCATGGTTCCTTCCAGCATTCCACTTGAATATAGGAAGAAAAACTAATCAAATGAAATTAAACTGTAGGAAACTGGAAGTCATGAATTTTTTTCTTGTCTTTCTCTTCTCTGTTTCATCATCCTTTCCATCACCTTTGGAAGCAAATAGTAGAGGACCAACAATGCTCCGTACTCTTGGCTTTGGGGTTTAGAAATCATCATCTTTTGGCTGATAGTTTAACTTTTCATTGTAGACTTGTAGAGGAAGCTGATTACAAGGCAACGGCAGAACTATTTGCTAAGAAAGGTGATGAAAAATCTCTGGATAATTTTATTCCAAAATCAGAAAGTGATTTCTTGGAGTATGCTGAGCTCCTCTCTCATACGATTCGTCTGTATGAGGTATGCATTTTTTTTTTTCAGAGTCTAGGTAGAATGCAACCTAGTTCTGTGTCTTCTTTATGTAGCACTGACTTTCAGGTGATGCCTATTTATGACGCAGAAAAGCTTTCACTATATAGGCCTTCTTAAAGCTGTTACCAGGCTTTCTATGACTTCACTAAAAGCAGCAGATGTTAAAGATATAGCTTCCTCAGTTACCGCAATTGCAAATGAAAAACTCAAAGCAGAGAAAGAGGCTAATGCTGGGAAAAAGAAGCAAGGTAAGAAACATCTTTTTGTTCGTCTGTTTTATGATCATGTTGGCTCTAACTGAATGTTTCTGTTATTATTCTGCAGGGGGCAAGAAAAAACAGCTTCATGTGGATAAACCTGATGATGATATTGTTACGGGCCGTTATGATGATGTAGATGATTATGACTTCATGTGAGAAGGAAAATAGGTTCTCGCTGTGTGTTATTTGGTGCTGTTGGTTTGGCATGACTTCAAGGGCGCCAATTATTTGCAGCCTGGATGGCTGATCATGGTCGGTTGTCGTTGAAATTTTTGTGGTTATCCTGATTTTTTCTATTGAACTCGTATTTAAATGTCGGATGATTATGCCCTGAGGGTTAGTGTCTAGTTTTCTTGTAGCCCTTGGGCATTCCATTATGTAGCTTGTTGAGATGTAGGGTTCCGTGGTGTTAAGCTGGTGAGGGGGGTATGGCCCAACTTGGGTCTTTTGATGGCTGGCAAATTTTTTGGGGGTTGGATATCATGTTGATTTAACAGTAAAGAGGATTTTTGGGGACACTGCAGTCTGTTGCCGGTTTTCAAGATCAATTTAGGTAGGCAAAACTTCAATTTAGATTTCTAATGTTCTATTCGAATTTCAGGAGTCCTAAATTTTGAAAGATATCAAGAGGGATCCTTAAGGTCTCGTTTGGTAGGTAAGCATGAATAGGTAGGAATGGAATGTTAATTCTCAATTTGTCATTCATGGTTAGCAATTATATTACCTTGTTGAATGCTAGAATACATGGTCTTACTTTTCATTCGTGCTTACTGAATGCAATACCAATTTGAATGTTTATTCCCACTTGTTATCCATTTTTAATATTTTTTGCTTTATATGAGGAACATCCCCAATTACATAGTAGGTAATAGACATGCCTATGTTAGTGGGAATAAAATAATTTAAATAATTCTAAATATGCATTCATTTGTTTATTAATTACTCAGTATTAAAAATAAAAGAATTGTCACTCTCATCCTCTTCTGTTGACTCATGGCCACCCAACGATAGGCAGATCCTCATCGTTGGTCAAGGCGGAATATTATCGGCTTAAGCAAATCGTCAGCAACGCTAGATAATCAAGGATTTTTTTTTCCTTAAAACATATGTGTACCTTTAATCTTTCTTGATAGTAGCATGTGATTTCTAATTTTACCTTAGATATGTCCAGTGTCACTCTGTAGTTTGTAGATGAATCTTGTTGATGATTACTTTCGAAATATCTTCAGAAAAATTGTTGCCCAAATAATTGGGATTTTACTATTGTTAATGAACCACATTGGTAAGTGAAAATATTGACCCTTGCTCTTCCCTTGCTTCCACTTAATCCTCTTCTGTTGACTCATGGCCACCCAACGATAGGCAGATCCTCATCGTTGGTCAAGGCGGAATATTATCGGCTTAAGCAAATCGTCAGCAACGCTAGATAATCAAGGATTTTTTTTCCTTAAAACATATGTGTACCTTTAATCTTTCTTGATAGTAGCATGTGATTTCTAATTTTACCTTAGATATGTCCAGTGTCACTTTGTAGTTTGTAGATGAATCTTGTTGATGAGTCATTTGTGCAATCAGTTGAATGAGTCATTTGTGCATTCAATGTGATAGTTTTATAGTGACGGAAGTGGTAGAGTCATCCGAGGAGTCATCATGACTACGGCTG